TTTCTAAATTTGTTCCAAATAATAAGATATCATCAACATATAAACACAAAATAATACATTCTCCATTATTCTTTTTTATAGTATACACATCTATCATGTTCATTGATCATAAAACCAAATTCTAGAATTATCTTATCAAACTTTTCATGCCACTGTTTAGGAGTTTGCTTAAGTCCATACAGAGATTTAACCAACTTGCAAAATTTATGTTCTTGTCCTTTAACTACAAAACTTTCAGGTTGCTCCATATAAATTTCTTTATCTAAATCTCCATTCAAAAAAGCAGTTTTATGTCCATTTGATGAATTTCTAAATTATAAATGGGTGCTAGAGAAATTAAGAATCTAATGGTTGTAATCCTAGAAACAAGTGATTACTACAACAAAAAAGGCCTTTGGTGACAGACTGATTTTGTCTCCAAACATCAAATTTTTTGTGACGAAAAAAATTTGTCACCACGTTCGTGGCCTATACGTCGTCGCTGAAAGTACCTAGTGACGAAAAACAGTTTCGTCGCCTATTTTTGATTTTTGGCAACGAAATGTTTCGTCTCCGAATGTTGAATTTTTTGTCCTCTATAACATCAATTTCGTCGCCAAAACTAAATAATATTTTATTTTAATTATTTTTTGCGACGAAATATTTTATCACCAAATAGATTTTAGTGACGAAAGTTTTACTCACCAACGATATGGATTAAGGTGACAAAAAAATTCGTCACTAAAATGAGCAGAAAAGAAAATTCTTCAATGAAAAAAAATATTTTGTCACCAAATATTTCAATTTAGCGACGAAATATTCAGCAAATGTGATGAAATTATTTGTTTGGTATTATATCATTAGTGACAAAATTATTCCTCATGTTTTTTGAAAACTAATAGCGACATTTTTTATTTCGTCACTAATAAAAATTAAAAAAATTGAAAATGGGGTAACTATTTTTTTTTGAATTTTTTTCTTTTCAGCAACAATTCCCTGTGCATTTCAATAACCTGTTCAATAAAATATCTATTACAAATCAATACAAAAATCTATTCGTTTTCATAAACATCACAATCGAATTTCAGCACTATCCACAAAAATACAATATGAACTGTATGCGGATTATAAGCATGTCTCCTAATATCCATAACAAACGTCTACTAATATCCACAAAAATATTATATCAACCGCATGCGGATTACCAAACACATCTCCTAATATCCAACCAAAAACATGTCTACTAATATCAACAAAAATAAAATATCAAGGACGGATTACCCAACATGCCTTGTAATACTAACAAAAATAAAAAATTTACAACGCAACCAAAATACATATAAGGTAATATGAACAAAAATACAAAATGAGCTACCATTTGCCCTCCAAATTACCAAACATGTCCATATCAAATCTCGAATCTGCAAAAAAATGAAACACACACAAAAAAAAATAAAAATAAAAATGCAAGTTAGACAATTATTATCTTATCCATAAAATATACAATTTAACATGCATTTTTTGAATTAGTTTTCAAATCGGGAGTCCGGTGCAAGTTCCGTAAGTTTCCACAACTTACATTGGTCCCTCCCGACGTGTTTGAGATGTTTCTCGGGTCGTCCCGTGCTTGTTGCACGATTTTGGCCCCTTAAAGTCTATTTTCAAGCTTAAGTGTGAAAAAGTGCAATTTTGGACTTTGTTTTCAAACTAGGAGTCCCGTGCTAGTTTCGTAAGTTTCCACAACTCACATTGGTCCTTCCCGAGGTGTTTGAGGTGTTCCCTGGGCCGTCTCGTGGCTGTTGCACGATTTTGACCTCCGATGGCCTATTTTCAAGCTTAAGTGTGAAAAAATATATTTTGGGCTTAGTTTTCAAACCGGGAGTCCTGTGCTAGTTCCGTAAGTTTTCACAACTCACATTGGTCCCTCCCGAGGTGTTTGAGGTGTTTCCTGGGCCGTATCGTGGTTGTTGCACGATTTTGGCCTCCGATGGCCTATTTTTGAAGCTTAAGTGTGAAAAAGTGCATTTTTGGACTTAGTTTTCGAACCGGGAGTCCCGTGTTAGTTCCGTAAGTTTTCACAACTTACTTTGGTCCCTCCCGAGG